TCTGGATGACATCCTTTCCCTCCAGCGTATCTGGAGAAGTCTTTTGTAAGTAAGGCAGTCTGCTTTTTAGCAAGTATACTGCACATTTTGCATGTGTAAATACTCACTGATTTTTCCTACAGATACCAGTTCATAGAGGAAGCTTTTCAGAACCAGAAAGTGATCATTGAGACACTAATCACCAAATTGATGGAAAAAACTAAGTACATAAAATATACAGGGAAGCAGATCCAAAACAGGTATGTACCAGGTTTTGATGTTAAAACTGACACAGGAGACAACTTTATATACACTGTAACTTCTTGAAATGTTTAGATTAATGCATTTTGTACCTCTCTCCTTTCATCCTTCCAGAAAGAGAAATACTAAAATGTTCAGTTTGCTGTAGTAACTGTTGTCTGTTTAATGGGCTTGGTTGTGTTAGGTAACTCTTCTGCTTAGCCAGGAGACTTAATGGGCAGCAAATAGCTTGGGTGCAACAGAATTTAGGCAATAAAGCCTGTAGAAGGCAGTCTTTCATTCTTTCCCCATCATCGGCATGCTTATTTTCTCTGGGTAGATCCCTCTTAGAAAGTGAAAGGCTGTGACTCATGTTTTCATAACGCTTGTGACACATTTTGAAGAGTTATGTAATACTTCTATGCTTGGGGCTTTATTCACTGGGTATTACACACCTAGGAGAAGAGTAAGTCTGTAAAATGTGTGCTGCAGTAGGCCTTTGTAACTGCTCCTTCTACAGCGTTCAAAGGCAGTACCTAGGAAGACTCAACACTGTACGAGATGTTGAGCGCAACCTGAACTCTTCCTGTCCCTTTGCCTGTCTTTAAGTATGGTGGAGGTAGAAAAAAACAGCAGATACCCTTCTCATTTGCTACATATCAGATGATTGACCACCGTTGTTGAAATAGCTAAATTAGAAAATCTATTTATTGTTGGTTTGGTTTTTTGATTTTTTTTTTGTTTGGTTGGGTTTTTTTGGGTTTTTTTTGTTTGTTTTTTTTTTTGTTTCTGGGCTATCATTCTACCTTAGATAGAAATTAGACTTAAACAGTTTTGATTGCTAGGGACCATTCCAGAAATGTGCCAGACCATTAAAAATCAAGAATTTTAATTCCAGTAAGCATTTAATTTTTATCAATCAGTGGCACGTGTTAGTAATTTTACAGACTTATGGCATTAGAATTTCCCAGCAGTTAGTTTTATCAAGGTCACTGTTACTTGCACTTTCTATTTCTGCTAGTAATTTTCCTGAGTATACATATCTGATGGTATATGTATTAATTTGTGCATATGACCAAGAAATACTGTAGTCTCAGCAACAGAGTAGAGGGGATTCAGTGGGTTTGTGAACTAAAAAACATTATTTTCTATGCTGTCTACTTACAGAATTCTTGAAGTGAATCAGAATCAAAAGCAGGTGGAACAAGATATTAAAGTTGCCATATTTACACTGATGGTGGAAATAAATAAAAAGGGAAAAGCTTTGCTGCATCAGTTGGAGGTAATTAAATTTCTATCATAAGAAAAAAATGACAGGGTTTTTTTGGGGTTTTTTTTGTTTGTTTCTTGGGGTTTTTTTGGTGGATTTACATTAAAATAAAATCCATTTCTAGCATCACCCACCTGTGCATGTCCTGTCACAATTCCAATGTA